CAACAATCGGTCATCTACGGTTTATTACGGTCTCGTTCGCGGTGTCTTTGATATGCTGTTCTCTAATTCATTAATCAAAATGAGGATAAAACAAAAAATATCTTCACCTTGAAGGAGGAATTACTTTTTCAAATCGAGTTCTTGCATGAAATTACAGCTTTGCTCATTTCGCTGAATTCGCTTCTGAACTATTATATCGTTTTTAACTAGGAGTGTTTATAATCTAGCTTTGAAAATTAATTTCTTTAATACGACCAAGATGCGTTCAATGGCCGGTACGACACGAAAGTAAAATTAGCTTATTTGGTATTGCTTTAGAGGTCACTCTCTCTAAATTGCTTTTTTTTTCTCATAATATTAATTTATTATTGATATATTGAAGAGAAAAGCCTTGGTGTTTATGATAGCCGACATCATGTTGAGCGCGTTTTAAGAACAACTCGTTAATTAGCTACTCGTGTTCTTCTTTATAAGATTAAGAATAAAGTCATGAGAGTCAAGTGAATATTCCTTRTAAACATGTTACGGCTGTCTTATACTATTCACCTAAATTGGTTTTTGGTATTTAATATGAAAACACTGTCTGCATCACGTCCGGAAGCAAGGATGATAGTTGCCTAGAGATTAGTATGGAGAGCGACTTTGAAAGCATTGAAAACTCTAGCATCTTTCTCTGGTTATCTTAAATGCGTTAATGGTAAGCTTTCTAGTTTTAAAGCTATAACCTTTCGATTTGATTTTTGATCATTTATATAATATATCGATTTTTATGATAAAATCATTTTAAGCACCGTCAGAAAATAGTTTTGGCGCCATTTCGCGCGCTCGCATACGAAGACTAGAGAAAGCTGACTTGAATATAGGTTGTAATTGACTCAATTCTAAAAGACTTTTAGAAAAAAAAAACACTAAACTTATGTAACATAATATAATCCACAAACGAAAATGGTTGAATAGAAAGAAAATACTGCAAGTAGAGACAACTAATCGACATTTTTGTTTATCTGTAGTAGCTGTGTAGAATGGTGCCTGTGGGATTTAATGTGGTCCGGCAGCAAATCCTCAAATTTCTTAATTGCGTTTTAATGCWTCTATAATCCCAATAGAATCAAAAACACTATATCAGGGTTTTCAAGGACGAAATTTCATTGCTTCTATGACTTCATCAGTGCTCTTTAAAAACACTGAGTTATGCAATCTAGGATTACAAGATATACTAAAGGAGATTTTAGGGAAGACACATAAAACATGTTGAAATATGAATGCAAGTAAAAGAATAAATGTAACGTAAAAAAATTGTCACCGACAATTCGGAGCAAAGCTGGATACAAAAATAGTTATAAGTAAAAAGAAAGAAACATTGGGGTAGGAATCGCAAGAAAATAACGYGTAAAAGCAAARCGAAAAGACTTAAAACATATTTAAGRGAGAAAGCAAAATAGAAATTATGAAAACAAAGAATCAAATATGTAAAGGCAAGCATGGTTAGAACTGAAAAGGCAAATATAAATTCCGTAAGAACAAAATTCATTTAATTACTGATTGATATATATATATATATGTGTGAATGTTTTTGTGGGTTTTGCGTTGTAGCCTAATTTGATAAGCAAAAGCGAATAACGTGAGACAATGCAGTGTCTTATTAATAATACAGCGACAAATATAAGTAAACTTCAGTCCCTAATATCCGYTTATGGACATGATACTATATTCAATGGTCTCAATGGCTGCAAAAGCTTTAAACCTAAACCGAATACTGCATAAATAATGCTTATTGATCTAAATTTACTCCATTATCTAAAATAAGCTTTCATCCATCAAGCAGTTTTATAATAGTAACAAGGATTGGTTGACTGTCTATCAGTAAATTAAGAAAAGCATTAGACAAAGTAAGTTATCCTTCATCGATCTACAGGTTGAGCATGTTTTACACTCACATATCAAAAGCTGAGAATATAAAAGAGTTCGGATCGACCAATGAACCACTCGCGGGGCTTTTGAAAGCAGTTATTTCGAGCCKTTGAATTTTATATAAAATCACGCAGGGTAAGATCACATCAGTCATCGTTTTTCACGCCAGGGATTTGTTGCGATAAAACGGTGGGTGTTTGTTTTATGTGACTGTGAACTTGAACTTGGAATATTGTAGCTTTGACGGACGGTCATTTACATTGTATAATACGAAAACTACAACATAATTTGTACGTGTTCTAATTTTGTTATGTTCGCTAAGTATAAATGACATTTTAGCAGCAACTGTCACATGCATCCTCCACGCGTCATAAAGAATCATGTCTGTAAACTACAACTCACAACAACTATYTCAAAACTGATTCTCGCCTTACAATTTTCAATTTTTTAATACAAACGGGGCGCGTCAAGAATACAAACATGAATTGCATCGTTTTAATCAATCCTACAACTCACTACAACTGCCTAAAGGTTAATACAACATTTGTTACAACTTACTGTTTGTACTGTTCACTTTGAGGCACACCAGACAGCACCAATACCGTCGTGTAAATCAAGCCAAAAATTCAGATATTCAACTTGGATTGCCTGGTTTTAATCAAGTTTTTATTGATCAAATTTAAGAAAATTTCTAGAAAACAATATCGAAATTTTATTTACATATAATACCTACTAATAGCGTAAAGCTAATCTAGGTTGGTATGAGGATATTTGATATTTGAAATAGCAAAAAAATCTACGTCTCATCACTACACTGGCTGCCTGAAAATTGATTCACTCATGTACAAACATAAGCTACAAGTCAGTTAAATATGAAAAACTCTGTCTTAAATCATCGTGAACTTTCCTGCAATAGTTGGAAGTATTGATGACACCATGAGTATGATGTATCTAATGCACTACTTGGTTTCAGCCTTAGGGTTATATATCTACTACAATGTCAGATGATCTTACATCCTGTCAATTAGTGATTATTACCAGCAGATGATGTCATTTTGCTATTCATAGTGTCCGACTACGGTTCCAAAATAAACAAATAAGATTAATGATCAATTATAAGCTTTCAAAAATTCAAATTAACCATCATTCATTGCTTGAAGGCTCTTCCCATATCCCATTTCGGGCGCCGTAAGTATATATCTCGCTTTAACCAACYACTTTACWATTGATTACGTTTGCGGCAAGAGTGCGTCGATACAGTGAAAGGCAAAATTAACAAACAGCGTTTGTGAACAGTTTGTATGTATTTTGAAGTTTCATTCAATAATTATTATTTTTAAAAGTCTTATAATAACCTTTAGCTATCAGTGATGTTGTCCTAGTTTATGTAATATATACAATATGAGCGGGCGATCTGTATGAGGATTTAAAACAGCGAGCTGAAAGCGAGCTGTTTTAAACCTCATACAGATCGCGCGCGAATATTGTATATTACTTATGAAACGTTGAGGTAAACTAGCTCAGGTTTTAAAGAAACTTTTGAAAAAAAAATCAATCTGACCGAGAAAATCAGAGTTAAAGTTTATGCAAATGAACAAGAAATCTGTATGTAATATACAACTCTCTTCATGGGCTATGATTTCTATTGTGTTTTGCCTTATGAATATTAATGAGTTTGATAAAAAAAAATAGAAATGTCTTCCACTTGGGTTATCTACTAAGCGTTGTACCATTCTGCAAAGCCGGTTAACAGACCGCTCCTAATGTTCTGATAAGCACGCTTTTGTGGGGTTCCCTGCCTTGCTCTGTTGTACTTTTTCTTCATTTTGTAAGGCTAAGCTATTAAAATATAAATATAATAAAATTTCACAAAAAAGAAAAAGATAAAACGTTAAAACTTCTAAAAGCCGGAAAACCGTTGTTTTATCATATCCTTGGTATGTGCACTGCAGWAATAGACAGTGGATCTTGACCAATCAGCGTTTGCGAAATATTCAAGTCATGGTTAAAATAAGGGGCCGTTTAATTGATCTTTGCCGAATACGCCAAGCGATTTTACGGTGAGGTGCATTATGGGATTGAATGCAATATTACAGCCTTGCTCGAGGGTCTCAATGGGGGGGTCCGCATCACGACTCACGGCTAAAAATTTGGCTTTTTCACGCCTCACGGCTAATTTTTTTCAYATTTCCACGACTCACGGCTAATTTTTCAGCCGTTTCACGGCTAATTTTTCTCATTTTTACGATTCACGGCTAATTTTTTAGCCGTTTCACGGCTCACGGTTAACCCCATTGAGACCCTCTTGCTCTATGATGACTAGTTGCAAAAAAATCCATTCTTTTGGCCTGTAACTTGAGAAATCTCGCATTAAATGTACTTTAGAATTATCTTCTTCGATTACTGATGGCATTGTTTTCACAATCTTCRATTTCTTCGTCCGCTATTTGCTTTTATCGATTACATGACGCACTTTGTCGAATCTGATTATGACGTCATAAGGAAAGAGGACCATTCTTAGATTTACAACCACGACCACTGGACTAACACCGACTATCCTGAGCTATCTCATTAGATACTGATCCTTATTTCAACTGTCAGAAATGATAGGAAATACAGCCATCGTTTTCCTTTGGTTTTCATAGGCGATTAAAAGTCAAAGAATRAAGTTTGTTTACGTTAGAACAGATATCTCCGATTGTCCCTTGATATTAAGAGTATGTCGCCTCACACGTCATACCTTYAGGGTACCTATGTCAAGCAGTCAACGCTAACATCATTGTCGAATTCAGCAGAAATATTAAACTCGTTTGTCACTTTTGTTGTTGTATCTTTTATGACGTGATATGAGCTGTGGTACGTACCAAGTGTCGAGTTTCAAGCAACGTTTGTCAAAGGCTTTAGATTAAGGGAAAGTTAAATTAGACGCCCTTCCGCCGAAAACTTCAAAACTTTGTGAAATCGTTTAGAGCAAAAGTGTTTCTAGTGGATTGTAGTAATTGTTTTTAATCGATTTGTGCACTTTGTTGATATATTGGCTTAATTGAATGTGTTTTAACTGATTTTGTTGATATTCAATTTGTTTTTAGATCAAAACCAGGACAGATCTTGGATATCAACTGAACGAAGACAGAGATCTTTCCTTCCTTCGTTTAGAGACAGCAGAGGAAGRCGTCACGACTCTGTGTAATTAAAAAGTGAAAACGAATATCCTGAAAARAGACTTTCAATTCAATTGGATTGATAACTTTTCCTTTATTGACAAGAGCGGGAAAAAATTGAAAACTGATCTACTTCTAAACAGCAGAGACTACCTACCGATACAAAGTATCGAAAGATTTTTTTATTAATCCGCAGTTATCATTCGTTGGAGCTTCGAAAGTGAAAACAGAAAAAAAAAAAAACGTTTGAGGAGATTTTTGACAAGGCTTCGAATAAAAGAAAACGATTGAAGAACAAAAATGCTGATCAACAACACAACTCGAGGATTGGAGGTTGCCAACGCAACAGCAAACACAGCGGCCTCACTAAATGATTACAATCGTCTGATTGGGACGATTTCATTCGTGTTTCTTCTCCTGATTCTCATCATATCATTCTTTGGAAATATTTTAGTTATAATCTCATTCAAAACAGTCAAGAAACTTAGAACGGTCACCAACTATTTTGTGGTATCATTAGCTGTTGCTGACATACTGATCGCGTCCGTCTCGATGCCGATATGGGCCGCGTATTTACTGACAGGTCCTGAGTGGGTTTACAGTGAGTTCYTGTACAAGATGTGGATATGTGTGGATATAACGTGTGGTGTAGCGTCCATTATTAACCTAGCAGCCATTAGTATTGAGCGTTATCTGTGTATAACATTTCCACTTAGYTACCATCAGACAATGACGCCAACCAAAGCCACAATTATCATCTTTGCAATATGGGYCTTTGCATTAGTGATGGCCGCCATCAAGTACGCTATATTCTACTATCCACCACCGCTGTACGAACTGATCATTGTAATAACATGCTTCATTATACCACTCTTCATAATGTGTATGAGCTATCGAATGATCTTTCAGACMGCGAGATATCAAGCGCGCCAAATCGCTCTAATGGTCAATGGTGGTGTGCGGAAGTTTTTCCTCGCATCTGAGGTCCGTGCAGCAAAGACTCTAGCGGTCGTAATGGGAGCGTTTATCGTAAGCTGGGGACCGTTTTTTATYCTTAAYGTGGTGTATGGRTTCTGYGCSCCGTGYGTCGGTCCCGAGACAATTAAAGTAGCAAAGTGGATGCATTACAGTAACTCTGTTTATAATCCCTTTGTATATGCCTGTATGAACAAAGACTTTAGAACATCRTTTATCAATATTCTTCTGGGCTGGAAGGTCTGTTTGCTGAAGATAAAGAGTGCCAATAAGTATCCACCGCTCGCCGATCCTTCTGGAGAATCAACTTTGAATAACTCTGCGTAGTCGATATCAAATCGATAATGGCAAAATATGGCCATTGACGATTAGCAATACAGTGGTCTACTGTTGCTCCAGGGAGGTTAATTTAAATTTAATCTTAAAATCCGTAGTATACTAGACCCATACAATTTTAGTTCATTTTTTGTTTGTTTGTTTTTGCTCGTYGTTATTGTATCGTATTCATCAGCATGTCTGAATAATTACATACACAACATTCTGATTGCCTCACTCACTACCCTTTAGCTATTGATGATACTTCAGGTTCAAGCAATTTAGACAGTTTTTAAAAACACTATAATGTTGACACGAAGTCGCGAACTATACCGTTCACTATATTCTTCTACCTCAAACCGACTGATATGTACATGAAAATTGTAAGATTTTAAAGAAAATATAGAGACCTGAAAGCTTAAGGATCAATAAAACAAACTGCTCAGGAAGAAAATCTGCTGTTTATTGTTAACCGTTATTGCTGTGAGTATAAAGATTGAACTATACTTTGATCATTGTAAGTCGCGCACCGAGTACATAATGGTTTGCTTCGTTCACAAATACTGAAAAATATTCTTGGCCATACAAATATTCCCTTATACAAAATGGAAGCCATTTTGTTTATCTTTGTTCGTTATAACGCATACGTGTCGCCATCTTGACCAAAAGGTCTGGCAATGCATACCTTTTGGCAAAGCCTTTACCTTCATAAGCCTCCGAGTAGTCCATTTTTTCTTGACGGTTAACCTCGTCCACAATCCCCTTAAGCGTTCGTTTGAAAAAAACAATCTTTCATTAAGAAAAACTCTCACGTAAGTGGTTTTCATAGAGTTCCTAATTTAATAGTTTACCTAACAACCTTTTTTTACAGTGCCCAATATTTTACAGTGATTTATATGACATTGAGATAAAAATACACAATAATGCTGTCCCTCCAAATATCAGAAAATCGTTACCGAGTTTTAGCCGTCAAAACAATGAAGGGAATAAAATATAGAAAACTTATGTACTCTGTCAAGACCTATAAACTTCGGTAAACCTGTCAGGTTACCTTTTTCAGAAGTTGTGTTAGATTTTAAAAGTTTTCGAAATCGTTTCAGTTCTGCACAGAAGAATCCAACTCTAACTTGATGAAAACTGCTCCATCGACGACATAGTTCTCTGTTTTTAATGTTTCATGGGAAACGAATTTAGGATGTCCTATTCCAACGTTTTCATTAGTTGTTGGTCTTTGATAGCATTTACTTGTATCGGGAATACTGTAACCACTGTCGATGTTTTTTCTCATCGAGTGGTCTAGTTTCTGGTCAAGCAGGACAAACTTGGTTTTCCAATTAAATGGCCAGGTCAATATTGCATCGTATTCACCTCGCATGATAATCATGAATACTGATGCATGGGTACCCTCGCCATCACCATTTCCATTAGGATATAACTTAAGTTTAAGTTTGTATCCATACTTGTGAGTGTAGAACGTTTCACTGTACAGTTCGATATTACGGTCTTCCTGCCTTGCAAGCTGTAGCTGTTTGCTGAAATCGTTGAGTTTCCACGTGTAACTATAGCCAGACGCCTTGAGTTCCAAAAATTGTTTATTGAGATCATTAATGTTTTCACTGCTAGACGCCCTGAGTTCCAAAACTTGTTTCTTGAGATCATTAATGTTTTCACTGCTAGACGCTTTGAGTTCCAAAACTTGTTTCTTAAGATCATTGATGTCTTCTAAGCTAGACGCCTTGAGTTCCAAAACTTGTTTCTTGAGGTTAATGTTTTCATCTTGAAGCGTCAATAGTTGTTGTGTCGTGATGGTAAGATGGTCTACCAGATTGCTTTTATAATGATCGCTTAAAGATCTCCTTGGTCCCTTGAAATAACCGACAATCACAAATCAATAACAATAACAATAACACTGGAAACAAATGAAAAACAGGATTTTAACTCACCTTAAAATTGCATCCAATACCGCCGTAACTGCAGACTACAATGGTCAGCGGACATTTCTCATCATGGATCTTTAAGTACATAAACATGCATGCAGTCAGAGGAGGGAACAGTAGTACCCCACAATGCATTGCGTTT